GTGTGGGAATAATGATGACTGTGACTCTTACCCTAAGCAGCAAGTGAAAAAGGAAGAGAGATTTCTTTTTTTCACAGTGAGGCAAGCACATTAGTGTTAACTCTTACAAGAGCTCCTGTTGCCACTTTATGGAGTTAGCCTCAGAATGAGGAGATGGGAGCTTGAGTCTTTGGACAAGTTAGGTAAAGCCAGAAATCACATTGCAGTGAAAGGGGTCCATTAGCCGTAGTGCATCAAGATCAGCAAGCCCCCACCTTCCTTACATGACCAGAAGAGAAACAGAAATGCAGAGGAAAAGACATGGAGAGAGTAAAGAGAATACAGGCTGGAGAGATGCTTGTCTTGTGAGCATGAGAAAATGAGTTTGGACCGCAGCATCATCATAGAAAGCCAGGCTCAGAGACATGTCTGTAATATCAGTGCTGGAAGAACTAAGCAGGTGGATCCCTGAAACCCACACCCAGTTAGCCCAGCTGAACTGATGGGTTTCAGGTGCAGTGCAAGAGCCTAGTTCAAAAAGTAGCATGGTTGCTTAGCAATTAGGAGCACTGGCTGCTGTTGCAGTGGACCTGGGGTTCTGTTTTCCAGCCCCCCCATAGTAGCTAACCAACAACTATGACTCCAACATTCCATGACTCCAACAACTATGACTCCAACATTCCATGACTTCAAGGAATGTGATGCCCTCTTCTGCCTTCTGGAGACAACAGGCACACACATGGAGTATTTACAGACATACAGACAAAGCCCTCAGACGCATACAATAAAATAAACCTTTCTTTAAAACATAAGGTAGAGAGCAATTGAGGATACCTAATGTCGCCCTCTGGGCTTCACATATACATGAACAAAGCCACAAGGATAGAAAGATATACTAGGGGGCAGGTTTCCGTGTTAAGGCAGCTCCCCTGAGTATGTGGACACCCCTGTGGGTGCAAATGAAGGCCTGGGAGCTCTCTCTTCAGCACTGCAAAGCCCTAGTTTTCTTTCCTTGGTACTCTGAAGATTTCCCCAAAGCCTTCTGAAGAGTTCTGTTTTAGCATTCCCAATCCTGGAGGCAAGCAGGGCTGCTGGGAACATTCTCCAAGGTCTGAGGAGAGTAGCCAGACTTCCTCAGACCACACAAGAGGACTGGAAGGTGAGTGGGCATGGCCCCTGCATGTTCAGAGGGAAGGAGTCTGAATAGAGTCTGGATTCAGGAGGCTGAGTGAGTTCAGGAAGCTGCAAGCCCAGTAGGGCCAGCTCTGTAGATGACTCCGAGCTCAGTGCTGGACCCCTTTGATAACCACAAAGAAACTGAACTATGGCTGAATGAAGTGAACCTTTATCAAGGAGCTCATGGCTTCAGCTGTGCCTTCTCCAGATGCCTTCAGCTAAGGAGGCATCGGAGAAACAGGGCAGCCCACAGAGACCTGCTCCGAGGTAATGAGCGGAAATAGAAAATGTAATTAACATGTCTGCCCTGAGAAAGGAGAGCTAACTCTATTACTCTCGGCCTCCCTGCTTCCATTATGAATGATTGTGTTTCAATTATAATCCCAAAAGTATTTCCTTCAGGAAATATGTCAGGGTTCCGCAATAGGAGCGAAGGAAATGGAGCCATGAAAGTTTAATTTATTGTGGGGACTGTATTTTAAAAAGGAAAAGAACAGAACTGCGGGGGGGATGCAAGGAGTGGTGGTGACAAATATAGCCAACTCACCTGCTGTGAGCAGGGTCTGTTTGTACAAAAAAAGGCCCAGGTGTCTAAATACTTGAAAGACGATATAGGTTGGAGGAGGGGGATCCCCACCCTCCAAGGTACAATGTTGTGCACTGGCTCCTACTAGCCTCCCTTGTGGCCCCACCTTGTGACATTTAGGAAGGAGAGCACTTGGTTTGAAGGTGACCAACAGTCTGGCTCCAGCACCCTACAGGATACTGGGCTAAGTGGGTAGGGTGAGCCCAGTGCCACCTCAAATCCCAGAGTGTAATGATAGTAACAAACAGTCAGCTAAAGTGACAGGGATAGAAACGGACCTAAAGAGCTCCGGCAGCAAGTCCACTGCAATCAATAGGTGGGGAGCCAGCCAGGGAAATCAATAGGTTACCAAGGTTCTGACTCATGTTGGTCAATGTTCCTCCCAGGAGAGACATCACCTCTGCAGACTGCAGAGGGAATAGACACTCCTCCATCGCTGCATTCAGTCATTCATTCACTTGTTCATTCATTCATATTCATGTGTCAACTCAAAGTGAGGCTGGGGATCCCACCAAGCAGAAAGTTTGGACAGACATGGAGGTGAGGCTAACTCAGGTATGTAAGAGACTCTGGGGTTTTAGATACTGTTAGACTTTCTTCTAGGCTCCGCCTAACAGTTACTTGGAAATAGCCAGGTAGGCCTGGCTTGCTACAAAAGGGGCTGTTTGCCACCCCCTTCCCTTGTAGCCGCCTGTGGCCATGAGTTGAACGGGTTCACATGAAAAGAAAGCTGGGAACAAAAAGGGGACGGAGAGCAAGAAAAGATGAAGCCAAGATGAAGCCAAGACAAAGTTCTCTGATCAAGGCTCAATGCTTTAATGTTAAGCTTTCAATTTAAAGGGAAGAACCCCACCCGACCCCTTCCTAGTTTTAGCCGGGAGAGTTGGGTGGGATAATCTGTTCTTGGTCACCGGTCATGGTTGGAGATGTCTCAAGGCAAGCCCAGGGGCAGTTCTTCTTTCAAGTATCTGTAGCAGGATCTATGTTCAGCCAAGGTGGGTGACTCCACCTAGGTGTCTATTGATATGCAGCCAAGGTGGTTAGTTCCACTTAGATCCTATTATCTGGTCTCTTGTGGTAAGCAAGGTCTCGGGCCTGCTCAAGGCTGGAGGAAGAGCACAATTCCCCCTTTTTAGTTTTATAAATATGAGCAGTGCCAGCAGCTGGATGGGGTACAATTTTTCATCCCATCTGGGGTACAGAGTGGCCGGGAGACCATGCCTGGCTTAGGTTGGCATCTATATTGCTTCCTATATTACCCATCTTTGAGGGGATACACAGCATTGGTGTACCCCTCTGCCTTAGGTTTATAGGAGCTCAAGACACTCTTACCCAACTCTGACTAACCGGCCATCAGTGGCACACTCTTCCCCAAAATAGACCAAAGCCACATTCAGACCAAGGATCTATGGGCATGCAATTGATGCAGTTCTTCATAGCGATGGATAACTGCCATGATGAATGGCTGGGCTTGTCGAGAGTGATCCTGTGTGAAGGCAACCTATCTGCTTGAGACAAAAAGTTCAAAAGATTAAGAGCAACATGATTTATCCAAGCAATGTAGGAAATAAGGTTGGGAGTGGAAATGTTCCAGTGTCTAATCCAACTGTTGGTTGACAGGGATTCAGACACAAATTCTGGCCATCACGTATAGTGAGTGGCTTTAAGTATAGATGGAGACTACATGCCAAGTTAAATCAGCTGGTAGATAAGGATTTTGAGCCATCTTCATCATCAGAATCGCAATTATTAGGCTCAAGATCTGTGTCCACTTGACGGACCAATCTTTCAGGCAGCCATCGGGCTCCATTTTCTTTTTCTGAGAAAATGCAGACCGAACCACGACCCCAAATTAAAACAGGATCAGGACCATTCCATGTATTAGTTAGAGGGTCTCTCCATTTGACCCTGGCAAATGAGCTGGAAGTGACTGGATGCCAGTGGTGATCTGCTGCAGACTGACCCTTAGCATCAGTTTGCAGAAAATTCAAAACAAATAACACAAAAGCAAGATGTGCTTTTGGTGACCTTGGAGGGTATAATTCCCCCCTTTTAGTTTTAAGGAGCCAATTTTTTAGAGTGCGGTGTGCACGTTCAACAATTCCTTGTCTCATTGGCTTATAAGGAATTCCAGTTTTATATTCAATACCAAATTTTTACAAAATGATATAAAGTTGTTTCTAGTATAGGCTGGCCCATTGTCCGTTTTGAGGACTTTAGGTAATCTCATAGCATTAAAGGCTTGTAAGCAATGATCAATTACATTTCTAGAGGCTTCTCCCATGTGTAGAGAAGCAAAACCAATGTAAACAATCTATTTTCTCTAAAATCAACACCAAGTAGATTACCTTTATGTTACAAAGTTTTGTTGTCAATTCTTACATATGAATGCATGATAGTGCAGCTTTTAATATCTTTTAAAGAGACATTGTTTTAAATCTTTTATATGTCTGATTTCTGAATGACTCCAACCCTGAGTTACCATTTTAAACGAACTTTCGGTCACCAATGTTGCAAATTTTTAATCAAACTCAATAACTTATAAGCCAATAATCTATAACCAAGAAATGTAGAACATATTTACACTTTTAAAACCAATTAGAAACAAAATGGAATGGCTATATATCTTATATATTTAGATCAAACCAAAATGTCTTGCTTTTTTGCTCTAATTTCAAGATAAGGACACCTTGTCACAATGATTTTTCTAGGACAAAACAACTCTTAGCTTCTTTATAGAATCCAAAAGCTACTGGTCTCTTTTTAAAGCAGCTTATGCCAACAATCAATTCCTGGAAAGGCTTTTTCGGCTCAGCTCAACTCTTAGCTACAGGTGTAGGGTAGCTTATCAGCCTCTGCTGTGTATATTAAGACTGCCTTTAAAACAAAGTTAAACTAGACCAAGGGTTGGATACGTAACGGTTTTTGTCTTTTGAACATGTAACACAGAACATACATTTAGACAACGAAACAAAAAACAAACAATTGACACACATGGACATTGGCGCACCAAGGACAGACAACAGACAAAGACATCTAGGAGTCAAAGAGAAACTCAGGACGTCTGCTGAATTTCCTCCTCTTCCTAGGAGAGCTCTGAAACAGCCTTTCCATTCTTTTTTGCTGACACAGCTCAGAGAGAAGACAACTGCTTTTCTGGAACCTTTTCTTTCTCTCTCTCATATTCAAGATCTAACTTTTCATCTTGTTCTTCAGGAGATGTAGCAGGCAGCTATTGTAACACCTCAGTGCCCTGCTTTCTAGTTTTCCAATTCCTTCTAACCCTGCTCTTCTCGCCTGAAGCAGCTTTTAGGCTGCGGCAAATGCCTGGTTGAAATTCTCCTGTCCCAAATTGCTGTCACCTCCTCAGCGAAATAGGCCAACACCTGATCAACCTAGATATACCGTACCCTTCTAAACACACTTCCTGCAAACATGGCCTCCAAAAATTAACCACTAGCGCTAGTATCAATGTCGTTTGCTCCTTACCAAGTGTGTGGGATACTCTCCTTCTTTTTCCATTTTCTGTGAGGCCTCACCAAGACAGCTGTTCGTCAGTTGTTCCCTCATTTTTCTGGGCCCCACTCTATTCAGCTTGTAACTCCAGTTTTAGGGGATCTGACGCCCTCTTCCGGCCTGCCAAGGAGTTAGACACTAAGCTTGCACATCCATATACATAAAAATAAATAAATATAATAAAATAAAAAAGGAGGGAGCCACCACACCTCACATTATTTAAAAACAGAAAGAAAGACAAATCACAGCTTAAATTTCTTTAAAATCTCTCATACCTGGTGTGGTACAGATGCTAATCCCTGCATTGGAAGCAGGAGAATATTTACATTATGTAGTAAGAGTTTGAGGCCAGCCTGGGCTACATGAGACCCCTATTAAAGCAGCTACAAAAAGATCTTCTGTCAATTCTAGAATTCCAAGCAAAACTTGTGTCTTTTACATTTCAAGCCAGGATATTTGCTGCCCTCATTCCTGGGTCCCTCCTTTTCACTCCCTCTCCCCATTCCTTCCCCCTCCTTTCTCTTTACAGGTAGCTTCTTAGGAGCCAGGACCAATAGTAGATCTTAAACATGAGGTGGGTTGACACATCCATGATACCTGACAAGCAGAAGGGAAACCTGTCATATGTGTCATTATCAGAGAGCTGGGCCAGATCATTTCATGTCTATAGCAGAGGAAGTTATTCCCTCCACCCACACCCTTTTCTAAGTTTCCCACAAAGAAGGTAGCTCTCAATGGGAGAGTAAAGAAGAATTTTACAACCTCGCAAGATCATCTAAAGCAAAGAGACTCAGGAGAAGCACCTACCCTGATCCTACAACAAGTCAACTTGCATTTGTTGTAACCTATCCACTTTTCAGATTTTCCAACCCCTTGCATTTTGTTCCAACTAGAGAACCTGTATTCCCTTTACTTGTTGCTCCTCCATTGGTTTGCTGGCTACAGCTTTTCTCCTTAACCATCAGAGCCTCTTTTTCTGATGTCTCTCCACTGATATCACTCAACTTTACCTGAGCTGTTTCCAACATACACAGATCTCAGCACAAGGCCTCTAGGATAGTGTGTGTGTGTGTGTGTGTGTGTGTGTGTGTGTGTACAGGAATAGAGTCACCTGAAACTTAGAAGCCAGCCTGCACTCTCCTTCAGAGATAAGGAATTGAACCCTGAACAGGAACAATGGAATACTCCAGTTCCTGTCCTAAACAGCAGCTCAGGCCACTCCCTGCCCATAGGGGAAGCAGCCCAGCATTGTAAAAAAAGACTCTGATGAATAATTAAGTCACCATTTACAAGAAACTCTAATCTTAGTGCAGTTCAAGGTAAAGACAGACAGCAGCCATGGACAGCCAAGAACAACATTGCCAGAACACTCAGGACACAGGCCTCCAGCCAGACACTGTTAGTATTATTTTTTTCTAAATACTGTCGCCAAAAAAGCTCAAGTCAGAAAGTCTCTGTCCCTCTGGCAACCCCAGCATATCAGTAACAATAACAATAAAAAATAATTAGCTATGATTTAGAATTGCCTATTAAGGGCTCAGCACTGCAAGTTTGTATTACGTTTATTTTAAACATTACCCATCCCTCCATGAAATCTACATGGCATTATTACAGCAAAAGAAATGAAGAGATTAACCTAATTGAAGTCACACTGTTAATAAGAATCAACTCATAAACAGGATATTGCCTGTCTATGCATTTTTATTTACCACCCCTTGGCATTTCTTTCTGCCTAGAGAAACTGTTTCTCCAGATGAAGGTTTTCTTTATTTATCTCTGAATCTTCTACATCTCAACAAAAGAATTTCAATAATTTGGATATATATTGCATAAATATATATTAATTACAGAGGAAAATTTTTTATTTTATTTTATTTTATTTTTAGTGCAGTGAAAAATCTGACCTTTCTTCCCAGAAACCCATACATGTAAATGAGTTTTTCATAAAGGCTATATTCTAGATGAATTTTAGAAATCCACTTGTAATTCAGGTGACTGAAAGCATTTGTGTAAATGTAAAGCATTGTGTCTTCTTCTATAAGAAGCTCTAGGATAGGCCTATGCCTTTCCCTCACAATTTCTGTATATATTGTTGGTACAGGAGGGCCTACTGGTCAACCTTCTACTCTGCACTAGAGCAGAGCAGACTCAGAAGGAACATTGCCAGCTGTCACAAATGGCTCTGGGTTGTTTAAGCTTTGTTCCACTGATAGTTGAGATATTTTTACCTCTGCCATTTTCTGTGTTTTGTCTAACTGTCCAGAGAACAGATAGAAGCCCTTGCAAGTGTCACAGTTTTGGTTTGTTGTACTGAGGACTTGAACAAGATGATAGTAACATGACTTTTCACCAAGTCTTAGAACACCTTGTTCTCCTGTGGCTCCTACTACCACTCTGCACAGGTCCCTCTAGATATGATGACTGAATTCTTATAGCAACTCAGAGTCAGAGTGAAGATGATTGTCATGGCTGAGTAAATGTCCCTTAAACAGAAGGCTATAGGGAGAAGGCCTTGGTAGGAATTCCTATGAAGTTATGACACTGACAGACCTACAGATTCCTTGACTTTAGTCCCTTAAAGAATCTGATGTCTCACATTAGGAAATGATATGTGATAATATGGTTTAGGAAGGCATTCTTGTTGCTTTTTAATTTGTGCTTTTTGCAGTGTGGGACTTTTTGACCTCAAGTACTGAGACCATTTTGCAAATTTCCTTCAGATTCCTTGGAATTTGTTGACAGGAAGTTTGTGTGGAAAGGCCATGTTTGAATCAAATACATTCTCTGAGAGATTCCCTAATTAGAAAGTGTATTTGTGATAGGAAGTGTGTGTGTGTGTGTGTGTGTGTGTGTGTGTGTGTGTCTGGGTGTGTATGCACATGTATGTAGAAATTAGAGGGCAATCCTGTCTATTATGCTCAGAAATGCTGTCCACAGAGAGAACACAATACAAACAAGAAACTGTATTTTGCTTGTTTTAAATTTTGTATAGTAGCATGAAAAGGGGCCCTAAACAGCTAACTTTGACCAATACATTTTTGTTCTTTTGCATACAATCTGCCCTTCCTTCAACTCTCCTTCTGGTCCTAACAGGAAATAGTCATAGATTTAATTAAAACAAAAATTCTTGGCAGTTATCCTTTTTATAGACACATCAAACATCAAAAGTTTTAAAACCACATTACAAAAAGACATTTTGACTTGAAGGAAAAAAAAAAGAAATCTGGAAAAGCCATTTTAAAAATATGGAATGAATGATTCAGATGGCTTGCTTTCTATTTCCTAATACCTTTTAGCTGTATTTCCATAATGACAGGTAAGTAAGACAGATGTGATAGAGAGGAGACAATATTCAAAAGCCCTAAATGCTAACATACAACATCATTCTAAGATGTGTGAGACTGGATAAATGCATACAGTGGTCCTAGGCAACATCAGTAGATAGTTGGAGCTCATTGTCTTTCTTCTTTCTCAAGCCTTCTGCTCAGTGCAGGTGATATGGCACATTCTGAAAAGTGGCTTGATACAGTCCTAGGCTTAGGGATAAACCATGGTTTTCTGCTCAGAGTTACTAGGAACCAGTAGTGGAGTCAGGGCTGTCGCTCCTTTCTGCATTTCAATGTCCTCATCCACTGAAGGCAGATATTTGATAACCAAGGCAGTCTCTCTAAAACATTTTCAGATTCTAATAATATATCTTTGGAGAGATATTTGAAAAAATAATGAACTAACAATTGGCTTCTATATAGTATTATATAATTGCTAAGTTGCTTTCTCATCCAAATTCCTACTTTATGCTATTTTCATTATATACACATTATGGTAATTGTGGTTGAACAGCCTAGAGAAATATTGACTGGTGTTGTGTACCTGTGTCCATGTGCCTTTGGTGAATTGCCTAATCTGTCTATGCCTCATAGTTTTGATGATTAAGTGAGGTTAAGGTATGCATGCTCAAAGACTAGAATAACTTCTGGCCTATGATACACACCTAGAATAATTATCAAAAGCTGATCACTTTTCTTGTGATTGTATGTTTACTTGCCCATGTTCCTAGATTATGACCTTAGTATAAACAAGGATCTTGACTGGATCATTGCTTTTTTCCAGCCTCTAACAAGGTAGTATCTAGGACATAATCACTCATTAGAGAGTCAATAAGTAGATGTTCTGGTCTGAATCACTCTTTCAATTTTTATTCAGCCCTATTTTAGACAGTAAAACAGTAAAACTGTCTTTGGACTTTAGTTAATTGGTTGAGTTTCAGGGGCCTTGTATATCCCCATATTGTTTGATTTAACTTGTGTGGTAATGATGTTAAGAGTCAATTCCCCATCTAGCTAATCATTCTACAGTTTGGGCTTTAGAATGACAGCGACAATGCCAGATGACCATATTCTAAAGCAGAGCTCTTATTCAGTAGAACCCCTACATCCAGTAGAGCAGGCTGGTGACAAATTGTTTTTGTGGTGTCAAGTAAGATTGATTTTCTAGAATTCTGTTGCTTAGGAGTGACTGAAACTGCTTCCATAGATAGAGAACAGTAGAAATATGTGTCTGTTGTCTATATACTCCAGGAAAGCCCTGTGCACATCCTAAACCACTTACAAAGACACTGCCTACAGACTCTTCTTTTAAGCAAGTGCTTGGGAAATGGTTTTTAATTATATCTTTGTGGCAATACCCAACAATTGCTCATTAGCACATAAATTAAGTGGTCTTGTTTTTTCCATTTTAAATGGGCATGTCATCTAGAATACAATCGGCCACAAAAAAAAAAAAAATCAAAAAGTCAGCTCAAGTGTGTGTGTGTGTGTGTGTGTGTGTGTGTGTATCCTAAAGGAAAATGTCAGGGGCTATTCCTTAGGTACTATTCATCTTCTTCTTGAGACAGAACCACTCACTTGCCTATGACCCACTAGTTCAACTACAGAGGATGATCATCAACCACCAGAGATTTACCCATCTCTGGCTTGCCAGTGGTAGAGTTACAAGAGCACAGCCCACACCTTGCTTTTTAAAGGTGGGTTCTTGAGTCCTTGTGCTTGCAAACAAGCTTAAGCTCTTCAAAGGAGACTACAGGCCTGATAAGCTGCTGACAATGCCAGGCCTGGTTCACA